GGAACACCTACCCTACCATCAGCCAGTCAGATCGGCGAGTGGAGCCCATTAGACGAGTCCAAGAATACGGATTACCAAGTAAGATTTAAACGCATGTCCTCTCGCCCCAAACCCCAAGCCAAGACCCAAAACCCAAGCCAAGACCCAAACCCCAAGCCAAGACCCAAACCCCAAGCCAAGACCCAAGACCCAAGCCCTTCCCATTAAAGTCCAGATTCCCGTGTTAGGTAGTGTCTTACCGTAAACAAAACATCGACTTTCTTAAGGTCGGGCCAAGAAAACACCATCTCTAAATTCCTGTATTTTTAGAGCAAATAACTTTGTTTACTCTTAAAGCAGACAACTTTGTTTACTCTTAAAGCAAGCAACTTTGTTTACTCTTAAAGCAAACAACTTTGTTTACTCTTAAAGCAAACAACTTTGTTTACTCTTAAAGCAAACAACTTTGTTTACTTTTAAAGCAAACAACTTCGTTAACTCTTAAAGTAAGCAACTTTGTTTACTCTTAAAGCAAACAACTTTGTTTACCCTTAAAGCAAGCAACTTTGTTAACTGTTAAAGTAAACAACTTTTTTTACTCTTAAAGCAAACAACTTTGTTTACCCTTAAAGCAAACAACTTTGTTTACTCTTAAAGCAAGCAACTTTGTTTACCCTTAAAGCAAACAACTTTGTTTACTCTTCAAGCAAGCAACTTTGTTTACTTTTAAACCAAACAACTTTGTTTACTCTTAAAGCAAACAACTTTGTTTACTCTTAAAGCAAACAACTTTGTTTACTCTTAAAGCAAGCAACTTTGTTTATCCTTAAAGCAAGCAACTTTGTTTACCCTTAAAGCAAACAACTTTGTTTACTTTTAAAGCAAGCAACTTTGTTTACTCTTAAAGCAAGCAACTTTGTTTATCCTTAAAGCAAGCAACTTTGTTTACCCTTAAAGCAAACAACTTTGTTTACTTTTAAAGCAAGCAACTTTGTTTACCCTTAAAGCAAACAACTTTGTTTACTTTTAAAGCAAGCAACTTTGTTTACTCTTAAAGCAAACAACTTTGTTTACTTTTAAAGCAAGCAACTTTGTTTACTTTTAAAGCAAGCAACTTTGTTTACTCTTAAAGCAAACAACTTTGTTTACTTTTAAAGCAATCATCTCTGTATAAGCTTAAAGCAAGTATGATTTTGCATTTTTAAGGCAAGCAGTTTTGTCTACTCTTGAAGGCAAACAATTTTGTCTACTCTTGAAGGCAAACAATTTTGTCTACTCTTGAAGGCAAACAATTTTGTCTACTCTTGAAGGCAAGCAATTTTGTCTACTCTTGAAGGCAAACAATTTTGTCTATTCTTGCAGGCAAGCAGTTTTGTCTACTCTTGAAGGCAAACAATTTTGTCTACTCTTGAAGGCAAGCAATTTTGTCTACTCTTGAAGGCAAACAATTTTGTCTATTCTTGCAGGCAAGCAATTTTGTCTACTCTTGAAGGCAAGCAATTTTGTCTACTCTTGAAGGCAAGCAATTTTGTCTACTCTTGGAGGCAAGCAATTTTGTCTACTCTTGGAGGCAAGCAATTTTGTCTACTCTTGAAGGCAAGCAATTTTGTCTACTCTTGGAGGCAAGCAATTTTGTCTACTCTTAAAGGCAAGCAATTTTGTCTACTCTTGGAGGCAAGCAATTTTGTCTACTCTTGGAGGCAAACAACTTTGTCTACTCTTAAAGGCAAGCAATTTTGTCTACTTTTTAATCCAAGCAATTTTGTCTACTCTTGAAGGCAAACAATTTTGTCTATTTTTGCAGGCAAGCAATTTTGTCTACTCTTGAAGGCAAGCAATTTTGTCTATTCTTGCAGGCAAGCAATTTTGTCTACTCTTGCAGGCAAGCAATTTTGTCTACTCTTGGAGGCAAGCAATTTTGTCTACTCTTGGAGGCAAGCAATTTTGTCTACTCTTGGAGGCAAGCAATTTTGTCTACTCTTGGAGGCAAACAATTTTGTCTACTCTTGAAGGTAAGCAATTTTGTCTACTCTTGAAGGCAAACAATTTTGTCTACTTTTAAGGACCAGCATTTTTGTCTACTCGTATCATACTGTCAACATTATCAGGTTGGAAAATTAGCAGTTGTTGCCACAAGTTTTTGTACTCTGTAGAGCTTTATCAAGTTATGTTTCACTCTGTAGAGCTTTATCAAGTTATGTTTCACTCTGTAGAGCTTTATCAAGTTATGTTTCACTGTAGAGCTTTATCAAGTTATGTTTCTGTGTAGAGCTTTATCAAGTTATGTTTCACTCTGTGTAGAGCTTTATCAAGTTATGTTTCACTCTGTGTAGAGCTTTATCAAGTTATGTTTCACTGTAGAGCTTTATCATGTTATGTTTCTGTGTAGAGCTTTATCAAGTTATGTTTCACTCTGTGTAGAGCTTTATCAAGTTATGTTTCACTGTGTAGAGCTTTATCAAGTTATGTTTCACTCTGTGTAGAGCTTTATCAAGTTATGTTTCACTCTGTGTAGAGCTTTATCAAGTTATGTTTCACTCTGTGTAGAGCTTTATCAAGTTATGTTTCACTCTGTGTAGAGCTTTATCAAGTTATGTTTCACTCTGTGTAGAGCTTTATCAAGTTATGTTTCACTCTGTGTAGAGCTTTAACAAGTTATGTTTCACTCAGTGTAGAGCTTTATCAAGTTATGTTTCACTCTGTGTAGAGCTTTATCAAGTTATGTTTCACTCTGTGTAGAGCTTTATCAAGTTATGTTTCACTCTGTGTAGAGCTTTATCAAGTTATGTTTCACTCTGTGTAGAGCTTTATCAAGTTATGTTTCACTCTGTGTAGAGCTTTATCAAGTTGTTTCACTCAGTGTAGAGCTTTATCAAGTTATGTTTCACTCAGTGTAGAGCTTTATAAAGTCATGTTTCACTCAGTGTAGAGCTTTATAAAGTCATGTTTCACTCAGTGTAGAGCTTTATAAAGTCATGTTTCACTCAGTGTAGAGCTTTATAAAGTCATGTTTCAGTGGTGCTTTATAAACCTGATTTAAAACCTCACATAAACCAGGCTGAGAGTTTATGAGAAAGACCGTGTGAACAGAAACGTGTTCAGCAGTCTATGTGTTTTGACATCACATCCATCTCAAAATGTTGTGTGGCAGCTCTAGGTCTAGAGTCGTCCCGTGAACGAATCTACCTGGACGTCCTACTGATTTCTCCAACATTGAAAGCTCCTGAAGATGAGTTTATTGCAGCACGAAAGGCCTAGAGATATCATTTAACTCTCCCCGTGGTTGTTTTATATATTATATCGCTTGTTCGCGGTTATTGCATAGTAATATGTGTATAAATTACCCTCTTAGATAACTCTCAAAAAATCATAGTAACCTTTGCTTGTCCTTCAGATAAGATTGAAACTGTGTATTATGGGTCAAGTATTCTGGGAGTATGTCACAGTAATACCATGGATGCCAGAGTTCATAACTCACAGTACCGTGCCTGCAACAATTCACAACTCACAGTACCGTGCCTGCAACAATTCACAACTCACAGTACCGTGCCTGCAACAATTCACAACTCACAGTACCGTGCCTGCAACAATTCACAACTCACAGTACCGTGCCTGCAACAATTCACAACTCACAGTACCGTGCCTGCAACAATTCATAACTCACAGTACCGTGCCTGCAACAATTCATAACTCACAGTACCGTGCCTGCAAACAATTCACAACTCACAGTACCGTGCCTGCAACAATTCACAACTCACAGTACCGTGCCTGCAACAATTCACAACTCACAGTACCGTGCCTGCAACAATTCACAACTCACAGTACGTGCCTGCAACAATTCACAACTCACAGTACCGTGCCTGCAACAATTCACAATCACAGTACCGTGCCTGCAACAATTCACAACTCACAGTACCGTGCCTGCAACAATTCACAACTCACAGTACCGTGCCTGCAACAATTCACAACTCACAGTACCGTGCCTGCAACAATTCACAACTCACAGTACCGTGCCTGCAAACAATTCACAACTCACAGTACCGTGCCTGCAACAATTCACAACTCACAGTACCGTGCCTGCAACAATTCACAACTCACAGTACCGTGCCTGCAACAATTCACAACTCACAGTACCGTGCCTGCAACAATTCACAACTCACAGTACCGTGCCTGCAACAATTCACAACTAACTCACAGTACCGTGCCTGCAACAATTCACAACTAACACAGTACCGTGCCTGCAACAATTCACAACTAACTCACAGTACCGTGCCTGCAACAATTCACAACCAACACACAGTACCGTGCCTGCAACAATTCACAACTAACTCACAATACCGTGCCTGCAACAATTCACAACTCACAGTACCGTGCCTGCAACAATTCACAACTAACACAGTACCGTGCCTGCAACAATTCACAACTAACACACAGTACCGTGCCTGCAACAATTCACAACTAACTCACAGTACCGTGCCTACAACATTTCACAACTAACCCACAATACCATGACTACAACAATTCACAACTAACACACAGTACCGTGCCTGCAACAATTCACAACTAACTCACAGTACCGTGCCTGCAACAATTCACAACTAACTCACAGTACCGTGCCTGCAACAATTCACAACTCACAGTACCGTGCCTGCAACAATTCACAACTAACTCACAGTACCGTGCCTGCAACAATTCACAACTCACAGTACCGTGCCTGCAACAATTCACAACTAACTCACAGTACCGTGCCTGCAACAATTCACAACTCACAGTACCGTGCCTGCAACAATTCACAACTAACTCACAGTACCGTGCCTGCAACAATTCACAACTCACAGTACCGTGCCTGCAACAATTCACAACTAACTCACAGTACCGTGCCTGCAACAATTCACAACTCACAGTACCGTGACTACAACAATTCACAACTAACCCACAGTAACGTGACTACAACAATTCACAACTAACTCACAGTACCGTGCCTGCAACAATTCACAACTCACAGTACCGTGACTACAACAATTCACAACTAACCCACAGTACCGTGACTACAACAATTCACAACTAACTCACAGTACCGTGACTACAACAATTCACAACTAACTCAGAGTACCGTGCCTGCAACAATTTACAACTAACACACAGTACCGTGACTACAACAATTCACAACTAACTCACAGTACCGTGACTACAACAATTCA